CTTTAACCAAAGTACAATAGATGGAGGGGAAAAAGAAATTACTTTCCCTCCTTACAAAAAGCAGAAAGCTTCCAACATTCTCAGGGAACGCTGGGTGGTGTTATTAGGAAACTGAAAAGCACGTCAGTCTGGATTTCTGTGTCTTCTCCACTGTTCCGGCCAGAAGAATGAAAATACACATTGCGGGTGCTCTAAAATGCAGTTCTTAGCATTTTCTGAGAGGGTCAAGGGCCAAGGAATGAATCCTGGATCTGGAAAGGAAGCCACGGCTAGTTGGCCAGACCCATTCTGGTTCTGGGGAGGTTTACGTGCAAGCAAGGAGACTGCTTCACTTTGTGCTTTTCCCCAAAGGCAGCTGCAAGAGGTCTCTAGCAAATCCAGTCTAACGTCCAAAGCCCTCTGGTATGCGGTCCTCAAACCCCGTGGGCCGTGAGCTTGCTGAAGTGGTCAGTGCCAGAGCTGCAGCCTCGGTGGAAGTTTGAGCCAAATAGCAACTGTTAGGACAGAGTTCATCAAACACGCAGAGCTTCCAACTTTTTAAAAATTGATTTTTGCCTCAAGAGAAGGAAATCAGCAATTGAGAGTGTAACTGACAACAGAAAGCAGAGAGGCCCGTATTAAGATGAAGGAAACATCTGGTTTTTGTTTTCTTAACTTTTATTAATTCATCTGAGGTGTGAGTCACCAGCTCACCCAGCCAATGTTTCCAAAATGAGGTCTTCCTTGCCTCCGGAGTCGTTGGGAAAAGTCACTTCAGAACTACCTTGAGAGAAAGATGATCCACGGAGAGCTGCCATTTTTTAAAAAATGTAATGTTGGTCCTGATAGGTTATTTCCTAAAATTGCTTTTACATTAACTCATGGTTACATTCCTTCTTCAGCAGGATTTTATTCCTCCACCCAGAAACCGTAGGGCTGATGTGCTGATCTAAAAATGTGTACAAACTACGCCCTTCACCTACATAGAAAAGCTCACTGGCTCACCTCAGTCTTTCCCAGTAGAGGGTGGGGTTAGCCGAGTAGCCCCTGGAGACACTTAGGAAAGAGGAAGGTCTCTCTCTTTCCCCAAGGTTTTCTTGAACCAACACCAATCCCACCCCAAAAGGGGGCTCAGATAGAGACATCAGTGAGAGAAGATTACTTGCTGGGTTCCCACCCACTTGATGACCAACATGACATTTTCAAGGTGGCTGGTCAGAGTTCACAGTTGACCTAAAGTTACCATCCAGGGCAAGTCTGGCTGTCTGTGTAATGATGGAGCGAGAAACTTTGCTCTCATCCAGCTGAGCTCTACTCTTTTTGACCTATTGGTAAGAGATGTCAGTAGGGGAACTCAAACCTCTGTCTTTCATAGGAGACCAATTACTTGATTCTACTAATCATTCATTCATTCATTGATTTATTCAACAAAGTTTATCTGAGCACCTCCCCAGGGTTCTAGGAACTCAGAGGTAAATAAGGCATGGTTCCTACCCTCAAGAAGCTCACAGTCTAATAGTAGAGACAGATTTGTAACTAGATGAATTATTATTCTATGATTCCTGAGGAAGTTGGTATTGAACTGAGCCTTAAAGTATAAGTTAGATACATAAGCCTGAAGCACAGGCGATCTAGACTTTGAAAGTGGATGAGATCACCAAGAGAAAGTGTATAATAGAGTCCTAGAAAAAGACACAAAATAACAACAACAAACAAATAATTAAAGAGACTAGAGAGGTGGAGAGAAAAGAAGAAAAGAGTGGGGTTACAGATATCAAGGGAGAAAAAGAATTTTCATTAGGAAGGGATGGTCAATAACATCAACATCAGTAAAGAGATCAAGTCATACAAAGACAGAAGAGCATCCATTGGATCCAGGAATATGGAGACGTCGCTGACCAATGGTAACAGTAAAGGAATGGCAGGAGTAGGTTTAGGGGAGAGCTTTTGATTGCTTGGATATGGGAAGGAAGGGAGAAGGGGATGTTAAAGATGACTGCCAGGTTTCTGGACTGAGTGATTGGTGAGTGGTGCTTCCATTCACCAAGATGTGGAACCCAGGAAGAGCAGACCAGGGGGAGAGGGAAAAGGAAGTTCAAGTTTGGACACACTGAGCATAAGGTACCCATGGGACAGCCAAGTGGAGATGTCCAGTGGTCCACTGGCTATATGGGTGTAGAGCTCGAAATTCCTAGTTTATAAATAAAATAGACTAACATGGCCATTTTCTCTTTCTGTAGAGAATTCCATGCCATCTTTTCACTATGCCTTTTACCTGGATCAACCGCTTAGATATTTTCTAATTTTCAGTGTTTCTCTGTGATTTCTCAACTGATTTTATTTGAACCAGAAGCATCTGTACATGCAGCTTTTGTACCATGCAGTTGGAACCACTTCTAAAGAGAAACAGAAGAGTTTACAGGTTAATTAAAAAGTAGCTAGAATAGCTCCCCTTTCTGTATTGAGCCAGTTGCCCACCTCCTTTCCATAACACTGATCTATTATAGAACCTTCTCTTGTTGTTGTTCACCTAAGGAAGAAGCGGAAGAGTGGCTTCGATTCTACCTCAATTATAACAGCATCTAATGTCAGTATTTATGGACCATGATCCGATTCAATATTAAATAAAGGGCAAAGCAATCTCAAATATTTAAATGACATGACTGAATTGAAAACCAATGTCTACCCTGGTCATTCCTGGGAATTGTAGCACTCGTCCCTAAGCCATAGACACAGGGAGCCCTCAAGTACTTTATGCGTCAAGTAGGGTCTGTGTCAAGGCATCTCTCTTTCCTTTTACAGATAATCTTAAGTTCTTGCCAGCTTCCGGCTCATGTTGTTTCCTACCCGAAGAGAGTCTTTCTGTTGTGTCTGCTGCAGTAAATGAAAATCCCAGTCTTCGTAAAGAACATGATGTCACTGGCTTGCCCTTTTCTCGACTCTCCATCAGATTGAATTTAGATATGATACTGGCAAGAGCAACAGGATAAATGATCAATTTGTGATGTGTCTGGTCTAAGGGGGATTATTTTGACAGTCTGTTCTAACCATACAAGCAATGTTTCTAATTATAATGAAAAGTTTTATTAGGTGTTGTCACAGATGTAAATGTTTCATAAAGATATTGCTCCAGTTGTAAATCACATGCTTGAATACATACTCAAGTCACCTCATTAAATACCAAGAAAAACTGTGTCTTTCATATAAATCCTGGTCTCAAATGACTTTTAAAAAAGGATCAAAGAATAAAACACAAAACTCAAGCCCCAGCCATCTAAAGCTGAACTTGAAGAGACTGACAGGAAGATGAAAATTTCCTTTATCTCTTTCTTTAATCTTCCCTGGGAGATCATATCCTCCAAGATTTTTATTATCTTCTTAGGTTCATTGGATTCTCCAGAAATAATAGAACTAGAGAAATGATCCAGACTCTAACTTTTAAAAAAATCTCTGATTTATTGAGGAACGATTTATATACAGTAAAATTTATCCTTTTTAGTGTATAGTTCTGTGAGTTTTGAAAAACACATACAATTGTTTATATCAACGATCAAGATACAGAATATTTCATCACTCCAAAAATATTCACCTGTGCCCCTTTGTAGTGAGTCCCTTCCCTACCCTGGGCTCCTGGCACCCATGGACCTGTTTACTTTTTCCAGAATGTCATATGAACAGAATCATACAGCAAGGCAGCCTTTCGCAGACTCCTCACTTTTAAAATTAACATTACTTTTCAGACAATAAAGATTCACACATGTTCACTGTGGAAAAATGAAAAAAAATTAACTAAGAGAGAAGAATATATAAAAATGCTTCCCAAAGAGAGCCATTGTTCACGTTTCAGCATTTCCTTCCAGTCTTTTTTTCTGTGTGTGCATGTGAACTTGCTCATATAGAAACGAAAAAGTACAAAATGGGCATCCTACTGCGTACAGGATTGGGGATTTTTATTTTGGATTTTGTGACAATATTGGGAGCATTTTCTTAAGGACTAACTCTTTCTTGGGGGTTGTAGCCAAGAGCCCGATCAGCAGGCTCTGGAACAGATAGGAAACAGCAGAATCACCATGACCTGGAGGAAGCCGGTCAGAGCTGCCCCTGCAGGCTCAGCCCTCCACATCTGGCTTCCCGGGCTGCTGAGTTCCAATTGTCTTCCTCAAAGCCTATGTTTTGTTGTTGCTCCTGGCTTTTTCTCAGCTAAAACAAACACGCTCCCAGGATAAGTTCAGGTCTCCCCTCCCACAGAGGACTTTCCACACCACATTAGATTTCTCCTTTATTTTGTCCCTCTCCCCTCTCCCCTCAGATGGTGAGTCCCTCAGCCCCCCTGATTATTCGTCTCATTTCCCCTCCGCCTGTGGCATACATACTACTCAGCAAAAAAGGAGACAGTGACTAAGAATGCCATGAATGAACAAATGCATAAACCAAGATGAAAGTCTCTTCCGAGGCCTGGCTGCTGCCACTCACTTATTTTTTTTTTCCCCTCTTCTGCTTTACACTCAGAAGATGAAGGGAAAGAATACCTCTGGGGGTAAGATTTTTCGTGGCCATCATGGAAGGTGTGGTTCTTGCTTTCAAACGCTTGGGCATTCCTGACTCACAGCGGCACAGCCTGGCAAGATGGCCAGCGAATGACTTTTCCCAGTGCTACGGCCAGCCTCAGGCGTTGCCCTGTGGCGCCAGGCCAACATTGCCTTGTCAAGGAGAGGTAAACGGCAGAAGACGGGAAAATGGACCTGGCAGGGAATGAGAAAGAGGCAGTCGGCTCAGAGCTGCTGCTGATGGGCACACAGACCCCTGAGTGATCAGCTGAGGCTTTTCCGTGGCCGGCTCGCCCCTTGTCCTGCCTGCCCTTCTGGGGATGGGGAGAAAATTGAAAGGGTCTGTGTGGCAGAGCATGGGTAAGGTGAGAAGAATGAGGGCGAGGGAAGGCAGAAGTCCAGCAGAGTTAAGATTCTTCTCGTTTTCCCCTTTGAGCCTACTCATTTGATACTTTCCACCTGAGGGAGTCATAGTAACAGTTGCCGGTTATTGAGTCCTTCGTGTGGGCCGGGGGCAGGGTTAAGCACTTCACACACGCTGCTTGGTTGAATCTTCAGGACAGTCCTCTGAGGTAAGCGCTATTGTTGTATCTCTTTTACAGGTAAGCAAGAAATCGAGGCACAGAGAGGTTCAGTGACTGTCCAAGGTCACACAGCAGCTTACTTACAATACCTGGGCTACAGTGAACACTCTTATTGATGGGGGTCATTACAGATGTTATCGCTACTATTGATCCGAAGAGATGGCTGATAACAGGCTCTGAGCTGCATACTCCCGTAGGCCTCCTGGAGCTGTCAGGGGTCTGCCCCACGGCCAGGAGGCCCCCAACTTCCCTTGCTGCCTCTTCAAGACTTGGGAAGGTGGCTCCTTGGGTGGTGGGAAAAGCGATGCCGGGCTTGTGTTTGGCTCCTTTTTGGTTCCCACAAATGCCCTTAACATTTTCCATTTTGTGAGCTCTTTTGTGAAACAGCTATGATGTGGTTGACGGTATTTGTAGTCAGAGCCAAATCAAGCCTTCCTCTGGAGGAAAGCTGGAAGCCTTTAAGGGTCTTGTCAGTGCTCGTGGAGCCCACAGGCCCCTTCTCGGTGGCGCCCAAGGCCGAGCTTTCCCGGCAGCCGCCGCCGAGCACAGTGCGCTCATTGATGCTCGAGCTGCTGCCCTGGGCAGGGAGACCAGCACAGTATCAGCCTGGCTTGGCCTCGTCCGGGGCCTTTCTCCAGGGAGGCCTGTGCTGGAGCCTCGGATCCACCCTTGATGCTCTTAGTGGTTTGGGAACTGCTGCAGACAGCTCGAGATCATTTCCCTTTCTGCCATCTGTCTTTTCCGCAGCATTTTTTTTTCCAGGACCCAGGAGAATCTTTGAAACTTCAAATCACCCGCGTGCCAGGAATCCCCACAGCCTCCTTGTGAGCAGTAGATGAGCACCATATGCTGTTTATATAAAAATAAATGGCTTCCCCCCATGAAGCACCCAGGCCTGAATCACTGGCTAACCCCTCTTTTACCTTAGCAGCTGGAGCAAGGGCCTTCTGGATAAGGATGCATATGCAGACAGCAATTTGGCTCAAAAAAGGCTCAGTTTGTTTGTATGAGAGCCGCGTCTCCTAGGGAGGCAGGTGGGCAGGCCAGTAGCCCCTCTGTGGGGTCAACTGAGGAAGGCAAGAGGGGAAGGCAGACAGGTAGCGCCCTACAGTGACCTGCTTCCCCACGCAGACTTTCACAGGGGTCCCCCCTCATCCTCATGACCCCTCCGGACATCAGGAACCCTAGGGATGGGAGGGGCGGGAGAGGAGAATCTTTTTTTGAACTTCAAACACCATAGGCTTGACTTACGCAATAGCTGTTCATCCATTCATTTGTCAAACAATTACTGAGTACCTACCACATGTACATCTGACACCGCACAAAGTCCAGCCCCAACTGTTTGTCCCCAGTGACGACCCAACCAGGACCTTGGGCCAAAACGAAACATCTGGAAGCAACGCAGGCTGAAACTCAACAGCCCGGGCAGCTAGTGAGTGAAGGTGTCAGTTGGTGTATTTCAGTGGGGTTTCATTCATTTATTCATTCATTCAACAAACAATTCCTGAACGTCTACTGTGTGCCAGACACTGTGCTAGGCACTTGGGTTATCCAAAGGGAGAACCTCGGCTCTAATCAAGCAGAATTTCAGCAAACAGTAGCTAACATTTTTGAGTGGAGGAGGGTATAGCTCAGTGGTAGAGGGCATGCTTAGCATAAATAAATAAACCTAACCCCCCCCCAAAAAAATAAACCAAAAGTAACTGCCACTTTAAAAAAAATTTAGCATGTATTAAGTGCTTACTGTGTGTGTCAAGAACTATGCTGAGTTCTTCCCATGCCTCATCTGTTTGAATCCTCATTCCAGAGCCGGCAGGGAAGTCCACACAGATGGAGCAACTGAGGCTCAGATTCCACTGACTTGCTCCAGGTCATGGAGTCAGAAAGTGGCAGAGGTAAGCTTAAAAAATCCAAGTGAGACCCAATGCCTGAGGCCTGGTTCCTTGTGCATGACTGCCTACTGCGGGGACCAGTCAACTGCAACCCGCAGGCCAAATCTGGCCCACCGCCTGCCTGTTTTTATATTGCCCAGGAGCTAAGAATGGCTTTTACATTTTTAAATGGTTGGGAAAAATCAAAAGAAGACTATTACATGACATGCAAAAATTATATGAGATTCAAATTTCAGTGTCCAGCAATAAAGTTTTATTGAGACACAGCCGTACCCATTTATTTACATATGGTCTAAGGCTTTTTCACTCCAATGGCAGACTTGAGGAGTTGTGACAGAGGCCCGATGGCCCACAGAGCTCTTTACCGGAAGAGTTGGCCAACCCCCTGGCCTCGCAGGTCACTGGCAGAAAAGGCAGCAGCTCTCAGCCCCTGTCTGAACTCCGATGGTTTCCAGAGCCCTGTCCTCCCATCCCAGCCTCTCCCTTAGCCGCACAGGGAGATCTCCAGGGAGCCTCAAGCGAGCATGTCCACGATGGCGGCCTTTGAGTTATTTTCAGCACTTCTTTTAAGAGTCTGAGATGTTTAGGGTGGTATTAGGTTTTTCCTCAAATGTTTAGATGAAAATGCAGACAGCATATCTGGGGCTATTGGTGAACAAAGCCCTGAGAGCAGCCCTGTTGGTCTTTGCTGAGAGGTGCCAAATTATCTCAGACTCCGCTGGGAGCGGCCTGCAGGGCCTTATATGGGCATAATCTCTGAACCCGGGCTTGCCTCCCTCTGCAGTATGGTCAGATCCACTTTTAAGGTTATGTGTGAACATTTCTGGTCTTCCCGATTGCTCAAGCTGTGGGGAATTTAACTTCTGCTGCCCTCGAGGGAAAAATGAATGCTGTCAGCTTCTGCACACGTCTTATTTGTACATGAAAGATGACAACTGCCTTCTTTTGGGCTTTCATCCCCCTTCTCATTTCTCTGGAGGTGGAGGGAAGCATTTTTGTGAGCGCTGGAGCGTGAGAAATGTGGCTTCATTATCCTAGCTGTTTCCTGGGATTAGTGTGTTTGAAGAGAGGTCGATCAGCAAACATTTACGGTATGCCTGTAGGCGACAGCTACTGTGGGAGGCGTCCAGGTGTGTTATGTGGCTCAGACCTCACAGTGCTCGTTCATTCAATGGATATTGCTTAAATGCCAACTCCATGCCAACTAGATGCCAACTCCTGTTCTAGGCCAGCGCTATGGCAGTGAATAAGACAGCCCCTGTCCTCGTGGAGCTAACCCTCTAGTGAGAGGCAGACAACAAAGAAGGAAAGAAATGTAACAGATCATTACATATTCGGATGAGTGATATAAAGCAAAAGAACAATGTGCCAAGACAGAGTAATGGGGAGACCTATCCGAGACTGGGGAGCCAGGGAAAGCCTCTCAGAGGAGCAGACATTGAGATAAGGCTGAAGGATAGATGGGAGCTGGCGGGGAGACTCTCAGTAATTGGACTGGAAGGCTTGGTGCATTGGGGTAAAGTTGGGTTGAAGTCCGTGAAAGAGCTATGTCAGTGACTCAGTTGACTGAAGCCTCATGCTGAGGAACCCAGGGCTACAGATGGTTGTGTTTTAGAGACCTTAACCTAGAACCCTAACTTAAGCAAACCCTGGGAAATGTAGCTCTGGTTCAAAGGAGAACACCTGGCAACATGGCTCCCCTACTGTTGGACATCCAATTCCACAAATGCTTACGGAGCTCTTCCCACGAGCCCAGCAGTGTCTCGGCTCTGGAGATCCAGATGTACCAGATAGCAAGGAGCTCATGGTCTGGTGGAGGAAATCATATAATCAAACAAATGACTTGATAGAGTGGTAAATACTGTGGGAGAATTATGTACAAGGGGCCTAGTGAGCACAGAAGAGGAGGTGCTGGACACATTTGGGAGGGCTGAGGAACAGCCAAAGGAGGCTGATTTTGACCTTTTTTAATTGAAGTATAGTTGATGGGCAATATTATACTAGTTTCAGGTGTGCAACAGAGTGATTCAGTATTTTTATTGATTATACTCCATTTAAAGTTACTATAAAATATTGGCCCCATTCCCTGTGCTGTACAATACATCCTTGTAGCTAATTAATTTTATACATATAAGAAGGCTGAATTTTTGAAGGGCAAGAGGGAACTTTTAGAACAAGGAACCCCATGAACAAAGGCCCCCGAGCCACGAAACCCCATGGCCCTGGGCCTCTGGGGAATTAGAAGTCATTGTGTTCCACACTTTGGAGCCTGGAGTACAAGACAGAGGGTGCTGGGCGTTGAGGTTGGAGATTTCAGCAGGACCAGGTCACAGGAGGGCTTTGCGAGTAAGTGTTGGGGATTTGAGCTCCACTAAAGGTATGTAAACACAAGACACAAATCTCCCTGCTGATTTGCCCTGAGAATGCCCCGCTCGTTACCTAATCCACTGGTTTAGACTCGATTTTCTAGGAAGCTATGGTATTTCAAAGGAACTGCCTGATCCTTTTCTAGACAAATGTCGTGCCTTTTGGAAGTAGCTTTCCTCTCTAAGTAATTTATACTTTTCTTACAATGTTTCAAAGCATCTACCATATGGTATTTCTCCCAAGTGAGAGATTATTACCCCCTTTATTTGGGGGGGAGTTGAAATGAAGTCATCTGTCCCCTGGAGTGACAGCTGTGTGGGGAGGTGTGCTCTCGGGGGCAGCAGGCCGGTGCTCTGAGCCCTGCCCGGGCGCCTCCTCCGCAAGAGGCTGTCCCCTCTTGGCCGCCCATCGCTCCCTTCCCTTTTCCCTTGCTTCCCAGTATATAAGAGCATTTTTGCCACGATGAGCTCTGGCCTTGTTCTGAATATTTTAGGTGTCAAACATCCTGTTTTTCTCTGAGTAATGTGACCCTGTCAGTGACCCACTGCATTTCAGAATGACATCATGGGATTAAACTGAGAATGGTGGAAGAGGAGCGATTATGAGCATCTAGGGACCTCAGCTTATCCCTTTACCTTTCAGCAAGTTGGGAGATGCTGAACAAGAAGTCTGCAAATGCGCGATGGCATTGCAGAGGGCAGAGGTCACCAACTCTGGACTGCGGGCCAAATCCAGCCCACAGAGACAAGCCGGTCTGAGCTGTTTCTGCAAATAAAGTTTTATTGGCACTTAGCCATGCTCACTGGTTTGCAGACCGTCTGCTTTGGTGCTGCCAAGGCGGAGTTGAGCCTGTGTGACAAAGCCCACATAGCCCATGAAGCCGAAGATAACTACTCTCTACCCCTGACAGGGAAAGTCGGCCCAGCCCTGCCCCGAAACCCTCAGGGAAAGCGCATCTGACTTTAGTGGCCTCTCCCAGCCCCTGGCCCTCCTCCCCAAACACCTAGCACCACAAAAAAGCAGAGATGGATTTTTAACAAGCATATCAGCGCTTTCATAGTTCTTAAATGACATCAGAACTTTGACATTCAGTAACTGAGTGTTGCCCTTACAAGAAGTCCCCTCGGGAGACTGCACACATCTTCCGACACGGCTGCCAGCACGCGGGCCATCGAGCGGGCTGCTCCTCGGAGCCAGGTTATGCGACACCTGAGACAACTCCCTTCACCTTTTTTTGGACCCAAAGCAGTACAGCCTTGTTGGAACATCTGCCTCATGGCCACAGATCAAATGTTGACCGATTCTTTTTTTCAAAAAATTCAATCTAGCACTCAGTTTATCCCAAGGAATTGGCTGCAGGTTCTGAAGGTAATTTCCTAAAAGGTGCTCCACATACGAGGTCTTCACAGGCAAGATGGCCTCACCCACGGCATTGGGAGTCAAGGTTATATGATGGAAACACCTTTGGGGATTTTGCTGCATGTTTTCTGCACTTGGGCCATTTGATTTCTCAAAAACTGACACACTCAGCGGGCAGCTCTCTCCTCCCTCTTTCAGGACTGCTTCCCCACTGCAGACGCCTTCCCCATCTGTCCCCCATTTCCCCATCTCTTTTGCTCACAGTGGATTTCACTGTGGTTTGGTACATTGGACCCATTCGGCTAAAAACAGCCTGGGCTCAGGGTTAAGGGCGTCCTTTGCTCAGTTCCATTTCTCACAGCCAAGTTTGGATGGGAAAGTGTCCCGGGGGTGCCGGGATGTGGTGTGCTGTGGGTGGGCCGGGGGTTGCTGGGAGAGCGTGGAGGCAGTAGGCATGGCAACCCTTGGTGGTCCCACTCGCCTTCCAGACCGCGGTGTGCTGGGGCGGGGGGCGGGGTCTGGTGCTTGGTGGTTTCTGCAAACCATGAAATGCCTACTTATTGCTCCACATTTCTGCTTTCTCATTTTCCTTTAAGCTCATTCTGGAACAGGGATAGTGTGTGGCCAGCCCTAGGGCAAAAAGATAACCAGTTAAGCAAGTTGCTTTTTCTGTTGTCCTTTCTTTCTTTCCCCCACCCCCAAGAGCCACTGCCTCCCACACAAAACGTCTCCATTTCCTGAGCTCACAGTTGCTTCGCTGACTTCCGCACTGCTAGAGCTCAGGCACGGGTCTCCTAGGGGACTTTCTCAGATCCAGGTTTTTCCTTCTACTTCTCATTAAAGTAAACGCACTTGCGTGCTGGAGTGTGATCCAGTGGATTACTGAGAAGCAGGGAGGATTAGGCTGGAGCCACAAGTGGAAAGTCCTCCTGGATTCACATCCCACCCCGCCCGGCCTCCAGGGTAGGGCTGGCCATTTCCAGTTGACGCTCTGTTAACAAACACTCCATTGCGGGGATAGTCTGGGACGCTCTTTGGATCTTCTGAGATTTTCTTGTTCCAGGGACCAGAATTCTTTTTTTAATTTATTTATTTAATGGCGATACTGGGAATTGAACCCAGGACCTCATGCATGCTAAGCATGCGCTCTACCACTGAGCTATCCAGGGACCAGAATTTAAAACAGCCCTGGGTGAGGAGGGCGGCCTGGTCCTGATGTTTTAGAGTCAGGCCTTTTGTGTCAGGGGTCCCCGGGAGAGCTCATCGCACTCCCCAGA